GCCACCAGGGAGGGCCTTTTCCCATTGTTTTTAAAAAGCTTAGGAAGATTTCTTTCATTTATAGATTTAAACCCAATCTAAAAATCTCCTTTTACCAGTATTTTTATACAATGTATATTGATCAGTTACCTAAGCAATATAATTTTGGTTGCTTTATGCACAAAACATAGGAGTATTTAACTTTGTATTTCTCATAAGGCAAATCCTCCTAAACTAAACGAGGTGATGACGTCATGAAATGGCCTCAGCCGGTACGCAATGCCTCACTAGTAAGTATGTGTTTAAAACCAAAGGAAAAGAACTTGGAGGGGCTTCTTTGGGTCAAAGGCGGGCTATGTGAAATCAGAAAGAATAAATTCTCTAACTCTCACAACTGACCTGCTTGGTGCTATTTCTGTTATACTGCACATCTACGCACATTTAGCCTTCTTACACTCAGCATTAATAATGCCTTGATTTTGGGGCCCTCCCTGGTGGCACAGCATGTTAAACTGCAGCACTGTGAGCCACTACAATGTACTTCATCAGTCTGCCTATTCTGCTCTACACTCTGTCTCTGGTGAATCCTCTTTCACTACCAGTGCACCTCTGGCCTGTGCCCCAGTTCTGTATGCATAAATAAATCCTTAAAAAAAAAATGTCAAAAAAAAATAAAATAAAATAATGTCTAGGCCTCCCTGGTGGCACAGCGGGTTAAAGCACAGCACTGAGAATCTAAAGCCACTTCCGCATGAGTTGATTCCCGCCTGCCCTGGAGGTGACCACATGGCGTGGCAGACCTCTCCTGACCCGCCCACTGCTCCCCTCAGCAGTGTATTTCGTAAATCTGCCTGTCCTGCTCCACAGTCTGTCTCTGGAGAAGCCTCTCGCCGCCCCTGCACCTCTGGCCTGTACCCCAGTTCTGTATGAACAAATAAATCTTTAAAAAAAAAAATGAATAAATAACGTCTATTTCGAACCTATTATGTGTAAAATGTAGAATAAAATCAGTAGGCAATTATAGCAGTATTAGGACAGACATACAAATATAGATGAAAGAAATTAAGTGCAAATGCTACTTTAAAATCGCACTGGAAACATCTATATGTATACGACATAGCTGTATCTGCCTATATGTTCTTCTCCCTTGTTTTCTAAGAGGTATCTCCTGATTCTGTCACTGAAGTGGCCTAAAATAACGTAAACAAGTAGCAATGAGCATTTTGCTCCACTGGTCATCTCTAAACCCACCTGCCACGGGTAAGCTGCAGTGCCAGACCTGGGCAGACTCGAAGGCTTAGGAGTAACCTAAGCTGATCTGAGGAAGTTCTTTATTGCGTTTTAGAAGATACAGGAGAAAATGATAGAATTGGATTTGTTCATGCAAAAGTGATGGGCAACTTTATAACAGATTAGGCTGAAGACATGTGACCCAGAACCAGTCTTATTATCACTACAAGCGGGTGTGCACCTCTTATGGAATGCTATAGCAATGGTTCCCAAAATGCAACCTTGGACCATCAGCTTTGCCTGGGAACCTGTTAGAAATACCAGTTCTCAACATCCCACCCAAACCTCCAGAACTGGAATACTGGGAATGGCCAAAGAAGTTGTGTTAATAAAGTCTGCCAGGTGATCTGACTGACACTGAAGTTTGAGATTGTGCTGTTGCAAATACACTGCACCTCTTATGAAATATTTTTCCAAATGTAAGCAAGTCCCTGAACCTGATTACAAGAAATATGAGGAACAGAATAATGTAAGAATCAAGACTGTACTCCTAAATTTATATAAAAACTAATGAGATATATACATAAGAAGAAAAACTGACAAGATGTATACTAAAGAGGAACACTTAGGAATTCACCAGCAAATTGTAAACCTGTTCCCTGCTTTTAAAGACAGAAAAAAAAGGTTGGTGGAAAATAGAAAACAAAGTGTTTTTAACTGCTGGTGCTGTGTGATGGACACAAGGGATTCATCATCTTATTCCACTTCTGTTTTGTTTGAAATGCTTTAAAACAGAAAGAAAGAAAAAAAAAAACACCAAAAAGCTAAAAGACAAAACAATATAAGTGATTTTTCTTAACTGACATTGATAGGCTGATTAGTTATTTCTTACAAGCCACACAAGAAAAAAATGTCTACACACACACACACACACACACACACACACACACACACACACACACACACACGCATCTCCTGGCATGTGCAGCTCACTTCCTCTCTCA